ATTAAATTCAGAAATTGTTTTAGTCACAAACGGAGGACTGTTTCAGGTATCTTTAAAGAAACTCTTCATTTATTAAGTAGAATAATGTACCGATAAGTTGTGCGATATCTGGAAGTGTGATTAAGACATGTTTATAGGATACCATGCTGCAAGGTATCTCTATATATTTACTATATAATAAAATTTGATCGTATATATTTAGATGCATTATAGACACAGACGTACTAATGATTTTATACTTATGATGTATATCTTTAATGGATTTTTTTATAAAACAATGGCTAGGGCTATGACTTTGTCAATTGTAATGCATAATAGCTTTAAACCTACGTATTCAGCGGTAGTTACGTGGGAAACCATCGTAACAGTTTCATAAATTGCCGACATTAAATAGTGTAGGCCTGGCAGAAGTTGTGCAGTGGAGTTTCGTGTTGATGCTGTATATACTAAATAGTTTACTTTTGGATAAAATGGCTTTCCACTCGAATACATGTAAAGGACACATTGGACCTGCATGGTACAATACTGTTTTGTTTTCTCATTATGTTAATTTGCTTCCTTCTGTTCCATTCTCTGTTATATCTTTGAAACAGTGTGATGTGATGTAGGTGAAAACAGACAAAAGTCATACTTAAATTATTGCAAAATAGCGTAAAATATATTATAGCATACACTTAGTTATGAATCGAACACTTGTTTAGATGATGTTAATGCGTATTTTAGGTATACCGACACCAGTTACCTGGACGAAACTTTCACAAACAGCTGCTGCAGGTACAAACGTTATTAAACTCGACCAAGCTGTTAATTGGAATGTAGGAGATCAGATCATTATTGCCACAACGGGCGACATGAAGTCACAGTCTCAGAACGAACTCAAAACCATCACAGCGATAGCCGGAGACCTAAAGACCTTGACCTTAGACTCTAATCTCGCAAACGAGCACATTGCCGTCACTGAAAGTTTTGGAACCAGCGCTAATGCAGCCACCATGGATTTTGCAGCTGAAGTCGGTCTCTTAACACATAATGTTAAAGTTCAGGGCACAAGTGACGCGCAGTGGATTGAGAAAATTGAAGCATGTCCTGACGGCTTTGATACTGGTAAGCGTTTTTCATATTAGGAATGACCTTATATAGGCGTATTGTAAATCTAGTTTGATTAAGGCAATGCATATACTAACGACTGTATATTTTTTATGAAAATATTATTGTTCATACTTCACAATTATTGGGAAAAATAATACTAAAGCATACCATGTATCTGGTCTACAGGTGAGTTTGCCACCCAGACATGTTTTCAAGGACGTTTTGGCGAAGAAATGGGAAGCGATCAATTTGGCGGCCAAATAATGATTCATGCCCCCGAGTACGACACACATAGATCTACTGGCCGTTTACAATATGTAGAATTATTCCACATGGGTCAGGCCTTTAGACTGGGACGCTATCCTGTGCATTTCCATCTCAATGGCGACATGTCACACTGTTACGTCCGTGGACTGGGCATCCATGAAACGTTCAACCGTGCCGTGAATATACATGGTACAAAAAATCTGCTTGTTGAACACGTTGTTATCTATAACGTTATGGGAGGTGCCTTCTTCTTCGAGGACGGCATTGAGACTGGTAACATTATCCAGTACAACCTAGCTGTGTTCGTACGGGAGAGTTCAAGTCTACTTAACGATGATGTCACTCCAGCATCCTTCTGGATTACAAATCCGAACAATACACTCCAGCACAACCACGCTGCCGGTGGATCTCACTTTGGATTCTGGTACCGCATGCATGACCATCCGGAAGGGCCATCATTTACCCGCTCTGTCTGTCCCAAACTGATCACGTTGGGTACATTCTTCAACAATAGTGCTCACTCATTTGGTTGGTTTGGTCTTTGGATCTTTCCTACATACACACCTAGAGTAGACGGTATTTGTGGATCTTCTGTGCCACAACCCGTAAATTTTGATACATTCGATGCTTGGAATAACGAAAAAGGCGTAGAGACTGTGAACACCGGCGCCCTCCAGTTCAGTAAAATCCGTGCAGTAGCAAACAAAAAGGCTGGATTTGAAGGCAAACTTATTGTGGAAGGTGAAGATTCTTCAAATCCGTCAAATGAAGCTGCTATCAAGGACTCCCTAATTGTTGGTTACGCGTCATTTTCACCTAATTCTGTCTGTACTAATGGAGCTATTGTGCTTCCATACGGATTCATGTTTGGGGTAACAAATGTTGAATTTGTCAATTTTGATAAATCGAGCTGTTCCGCCTTTACCTGGACAAGAATAGACGGTACATGTGGTGACCAATGTGGTGGGTACTATTACAAAACATCAGGTCTGACCTGGACAAATTCTCCCAATCGTGGCCGATATGAATGGTTATTCGAGGGCGTTCTACATGATCTTGATGGCACTTTGTGCAACAGTGTAAATTGTAAAGTCGTACCAAGTACTGGAACACTCCCACCCAGTTGTACTGCATTCTCCGATTTCAATAACAGCATACCCGCAAGTGTATGTCCTTCTTCTGTCAAGTTCCACAGGTTTGGTTTTAATAACATTTTGCCTGCTTCTTTAGAATTCAAGCAAACTAATTTGACAAATCAGTACGGATCATCCCTCGGCGAGTATCGTGAAAAACGAATCACTCACAAGGGCGGCTGGGTAGTATTACTCGTTAGTAACGAGACCTATTCTCTTACTTTTGTTGACGCTGCAATCCAAACGAATCTCAGTTTCTCTGGCACACTTTACCATTTCGAGGTAAGTAGTTTTTTCTTTTTTCACCCGATGCAAAGACATACATAAAGTAACGATAACATTTATAGTTTGTATTCACAGCCGATAATTCTAACATCATGTTTTACGTTCAGGTTTAATTTAAGAATATGAAAACTAATAATTATTTAATTATAATGAAAAAGCCGCTGTTATAATTGAAACGAAAAGTATTGAACAAACATAAATGTTATTGTGAATTTAATATCCCTTTCAACAAGGAAATAAAACCCATCTTGGCATAAATCTAACTCAATTATTGTTATTATTTATCTTATAGAACAATGACTATATTTATCTGCGTCAAAAAGTAAACAAGAAACCAGACAGACTAAAGAGTGACGCCCGTGGATTTGTCGAGTCATCTGATGTGACTCTGGATCCTAGCGTTCATGTAAACGGGGACTGGACATACGATCATTATACCAACGAAATCACAATTCTTGGTTCGTGTACAAATCTCGGAATATTCCATATTACTTACCCGACCACATGAAATGTAAACACAATGACAATAGCTTAGCGCATTTATGGTTTATGAAAAAAACGGGAATTTCTTCTTGAATATTGAATTGTGAACATATTTGATAAAGAACAATCTGTCTAAAACGTAATTGAATCAGATAAGAAGTGCATTTGTATACAACAAAGCTTTATGGAATTGACAACAAAAAGCAACAATAAGTGTAATCCATGCACATTGATTTTCTGTCTCGGATTAAACCTGTCTATACTGAGTGTCATTAATCCGTAATGGTATTGAACATCAATTGTGTTTTAGTGCTTTAGTAAATATCTTTCTAACGATGTAATAGATCACGGAAGAAAATAAAATAGAAAGAGGAATGAAATGAAAAAAAAAAAAATGAAAAATACTCGATCATTACGTGTATGTTACAAAGTAATTACATAATTCTATTATGGTTCTTTTCTTGTATGAGATGCTTTTCAATCACACTATAATTGTGTGTGGGTTATTGTGAATGCTAACACGACTATCAGATCACTTGATTTCCTATCAATCCCTTTCGTCTTATATCTGTGTTTACTCTTTCAGTAAAAGGAAGCGGAGGAGCGAGCGGTAGGAAAAAGCGTGGTTCTCCCGCTTTGCCAACCGGTATCGCCAGTATATCATTCGATTTTCAGGCCTTCAAATGTTTCTACGCCAACTGTACACCACCACCGGATCCTAACACAGTACCCCCTGTCACTCAGCGACCATCGGATTTCGTGTATTGGTCAGAGGCAAACTCTTGGACTTGGCTTAACAATACACTTCCAGTAGCCAATACTGACCTGACTATTCCACAAGGTAATTATTGTCCCTGATTTGGGCGTTACAAGATTTACGTCTTACTTGAAGCCGAAGACGCTTACTCTTTAAGAAGACCTGGTCTTATTATCCCCTCCTTGTTTTGATGTGTGAAGTTATGTCATTTCCTTTATTGCTTTGAATCAGCTTAAATATTGTTTGTTGTTTGTTCCATCGATACGATGATGAAACACATGATACTATGAAGTGGCCTTTTCCTAAGTAGATGATTGATTATATATACAGCTGTATATTTTATTTTGACTACTAGCCACATCAATAGAATTTGATCTTAACCGAGTCTTTAGCCGACAATTATATTACAAACATTGATTATACTATTACATTGCTCTGACATAAGTCAAAGGTTATGTTAATTTAATTACTCATACTCATTAAGAAGTAATCAAAAAGTTTGCTTGCTTGTTTGTTTGTTGGTTTGTTTTGTTTTTGTTTTTGTTTTGTTTTTTTTGTTATGCTACCAGAATGACCAAGTTGATCACTTTGCGTCATTGATTCATGACAATGTTTTAAATAGTAAGCAAAATGTAATTTCGAACTGAATTTGAATCATCAGAGGTGTGGATGGTAGCAGACATGGCTATTCCCTCACTCAATAAGTTAATCCTGTATGGCGTCTTGGAGTTTGATCACGGCACGTCAGCTCCTTACCGTGACATTGACCTCAATGCCACCCACATCATCATTCTGGGAGGGCGACTTATAATAGGATGGCCGGATGCTCCCTACCTCGGTAACTCTCAAGTCATCCTTAGAGGCAGCTGGGATAGTGACGAGTACACAGATCTCACCAATTCTCCAACTGTGGGGGCGAAGGCAATTGGTATGTGTTGTTCAGTCACGTGTATGTATACTAAGTAGTGTTGCCGTCTGTTATAGATAATGGTAATGAATGAAAACTGGTTTGCAATTATTCTAGTCTTTTTAAATGATGACAAATTAATATGTTCAACAATAAGAAAGTCAAAAATTATAATGAAAAATGGTAACATTTTTACAAGCATTAACAATCAGATACCTGTTCATGTTATAAACTGTATACCAGACAATGCCGTTTGGGGCAGGTGTCACCATATTTATTCCTACAATTACAATGCTTTGTATGTAAAAATTACAAACAGGTGTATTTGGAGGCCTTGACCTTCACGGGATCGATGTTGGGGTGTCATGGACACGGTTAGCTTCGACAGCGAACGCCGGGGCATCCACAATCTCTTTAGCACAGGCTGTCAACTGGACTGCGGGTAGCGACATTGTTCTAGCGACAACAAGTTATGATATGTGGGAAACAGAGACATTCAGGATCACTGGAGTATCTACTGATGGACTGACGCTTACCCTTAACAGCTCGTTACTGTACAAACATGTTGGTATGTATGTACGAAAATCCCAGCCTTCACCATCATTGAAGTATTATCTGACATGATTTTTTATGCTTTCCGCATTCCTTAAAACAGATAATTCTTGTCAGTCGAAAAGATTGAGAATGATACTTCTCTTAAATTCTTAAATTCAAAATCATTATTATGGGCGAGGCTTTATTTTCGTTGGATTCGTGGGTACTGTAAGTTTTACTTTCATGAAATGAAATTAATATAAATGCATATATGGAGTTAATTTATCCACGAAATCGAATGCTAATGATCTTTAAAACTTGAGCCCATTGGAAATAAGTTATTTTACAGGTGGAAAGAAATAATAACAAAAGAAAAGGAAAATTGCAGTTAATTAATAAATTTGGTGGGACTATATTACATTATTGAAAGTTTTGGTATTTTAATTAAAATTGTAATTTAGAATTAGAGAAGACATTTTTTGCCAATGTTAATGAAATAAGAATAGAGGATGTAGATATTGGATTTTGTGTATTTTCTAGTCCATTCGGAGACAATAAATGGAAAAACCATCAGTCTTGGAGCCGAGGTTGGACTTCTCTCAAGAAATGTCAAAGTCGTCGGCGAGGACTATTCTAGAATGTTTAAGGAATCATTTGGTGCCCGGACGTTAGTAGGAACAGCACAAAAAGGAAGCAGCCAGTATATTGGTGAATGACGCCATTTGATAAATGAAATAAAGTGCAACATATAAATGATTTTGAGTAGTAAGGCTACATATTCATCTCGAGTCAAATTTAATTTCGTATTGAATGATAAACTGAAACGACGATGTTCAGCATTATTGTGATCACGTGGAATAGAAATATTAAAACGTAAAAAGTAATAATTTTGAAGTTAGAATTTCAGATTTCAAATCAGAATGTGTTTTTCCATAACGGTTTTTATGTTTGTATTCCAAGGTTATGCTCGCTTGAGCAATGTGGAGTTTTTCCACACGGGACAGGAAAGCTACACCGAATTCTACGATGCACGATTTTCATTGACATTCCTTGATGGTGGAACAGTCAGCAATATTAAACCTTCATACATAAACAAATGCGCCTTCCACAACGGGTTTTCTCCGGCTATTGGTGTTTTCGGAACGCATGGTTTGCCAATAGAAGATAACGTCGTTCATCATGCAATCTGGTGGGGTAAGTAACGAGAATATACGTTTTCACATATATCATTTCTTTGTTCCAACATTCACTTCCTTTATGATACATTAATGCCGCAGCTAGTTTAAAGGGATACGTAAGTTTACAATGACATGTACGTTTTTTAATCTTTCTTTTGATTATAAAAGTATTGTCAGCATTTTAGTTTCTTTAATATCAGTTTAGAGAAGCAAAATTGGTCGAAATAAGCCCACATGTAGAACATTGGAGTTCAGTCAGAAAAAAATAATACTGTGTAAAATACCCCTTTGATATATCGCTATTGTGCATGATACCTTTTCGGTTTCGAAATTTATTTTTTTTGAAAAGTGCTGTTCATTCGTAGATGTTATTGTATGCACCGTGTTTAACCCTTATTTGATGGGTTTAGGTATTGAAACGTCTTCTGATGATACACGACTGCGCCGAAACCTGGTAACACTTGTTGTATGGGAAGGAGCGTACCAAGACCGTCAAGAACCATTCAACTTCCGCTACAATGGTGGAATTCAAGCTCCAGATGCCAAGGCTATTATAATTGAGGATAATGTTGTAGCGGGAGCTGAAAGGGTTGCCTACAGGTTAGGGGCCATTGAATGCGGTGCTGTTGGTTATGGAAGTAATCTGGCTCACAGTTCCCTAATGGGATTCGGGATATTTCCCGAAGACAAGTTAACAGTTTCATGTGTTCAAATTTCAAATTTCACAGTTTGGAAATCTCGAGACGGTGGTATTTTTTATGAGAACAGTCCAAGTGCGGAAATAAAAGACGTTGTCCTAGTTGAAAACACTGTGGGTACTGCACCGTTTATTGTTGGCCCATCAGCTGTGGGGCATGAAACTGCTGATAAGTATGTCTTAATCAAAGATTCGACAATAGTTGGTGCGACAACTTCTTTTGATTGCACATCTGACGCATTGAAATCTGATGAAAATGTTCAATTTAGCAGCCAAGGTCGCACGTGGAACACAGATGGTAGTCACATCGGCGTTGGGTTTACTAATTTCTTCCAATCATCCAATAATATGCCAATGAAGCCACATTATGGGACCATGTCTTACTCTTCTTTGTTCGGAGTAATGAAACTTGACGGTAAGTGATTTTCGTACATAAAGGAATATAAATGAAATCTATTTAATTATGGGGTTTGTACACAGTCCCATTGAGGTTCTGACATATCATTCAATCACTTCGGATATTCCATAGTCGCCTCCTAGGCTTCTAATTTCAGATTCATAGTATCACAGACAAGTCCTAGAAGGACGAAACAGCTGTATGATGCAGTTTGATTATTTTTGCGGGTCTACTTTACGTAACACACAACAATTCTGCGAGAATTCATCTTACGCTGTAAAGTGAGATATTTAGCTCCATATAAAGCTAATGTTAGCCAGTTAATCATCTATGTGTTGATCATGGACGAAGCAGCTGGTGCAAAATGTGCAATTTCCATACATCATAGAATAAATTTAATATGTTACTTACATACGTTATACACAAGGGTATCTCAATATCAAAATTTGCAGGTATATCACATCTGGCATCACAAGGAATATCCTAAAATCTAGTTGTGTGCAGTATTTACTTTAGACGAAACAATCAGCTGCCTCTTAAAATAGGTTTCTGCTTGACGTATAGTGTCTATTCTTATTTTTGAACAGGTGTATCATTTGCTCATTTCAAAACAACTTGTGGCAGGAACGACTTCGCTGTAACCACGAATGCGAAAGGCGACGATGGCCAACATCCGATTGAATCGAAGAACGCATTTACCACTGATGTAGCAACAAATAACAAAATATTCTATCACAGGCCAAATGTGGGGTAAGAAATGTTATTTATCAAAAGATTTTCCTTAGTGTCTTAGATTTCGTCCTCTAACTATTCAAATCAAAGATGTATCTAACTATTGAGATTGCTAGTAGCATAGTATGTCGCTAATAAAATGTCTATTGTCGCATGAATGTGTATGTTCGGTTAATATGCACTCTAAAGGGAAAAACAAATAAAAGAATAATTCTTTTTACTTCATTCGTCTTCAGAAAAATTAACAGTGCCGATTGTGTGGATATGGACTGTGATGGTCTGAAAAAGGATTTGTTTACTGACCAGGACGGTACCTTCCTTGGAAGTGTTGGAGCAGTTATTTCAGAATCGGAATGGCAGTGGGATGGTGATCCACGCAGAGGTCTTGGTGATTACAGAATTCCAAAAACAATGCTAACTGAACAAGATGGAACGCGCATACCGGTCAATAATATAGCACCTAACAAAGGTAAGTAACTGATATTCAACAGAATATAAACACCAAATAAATCTATGCGCAGTTGCATCAAAATAACTTTAAATTATAATGTAATATAAAGTATTTTAACAAATCTAAACATTTCTCCTCAGTCGATGGTTGGTTACCTCCAAAGCAGATAAGACAACGTCCTGTTATAAGGTCTATGTCGGCAGCTGTACATGTTTAAATCAATCCGAACAATATCGTAGATTAAAACCGGGGGTGGTGGAGGCACAACGTCACACAGTCGATGAAATTCGGTAAATTCTTCCTGGAACTGCCGTGGATGCAGAAATGTACAGAGTCCTCACCAACAAAGTGTAGAATGTAGGTCGAGAGTGAAGATAAAACAAACAGCTCCTTCGCAAATTTATTCGTGCATCAAGTTGATGACATGTTTCGGATCCAAGTGATTCAAGCTCAATACTAACATTACATGTAGAGCAGTGATTAAATTAGTTAATTATTTCATTATAACAATGATTTTTCTGTATCCGATATTATCATAGGTATCATCCGCAACAGCAACTGTGTTTTACACTCGACATGGCAGGCTTATGAGTGTCACAACCTCAACTACAAGATTCTTATCATCGAAAGTATGGATTCGGACACTGAGACCCGCCGAGTATCACCTGTTGCTATTCTGGGAGACGGGTATCTTGATCTCATCAATGGCCCCCAGGATCATGGATGGTGTAGCGGCTACACCTGTCGTAAACGAGTTTCAACCTTTATGGCCATGGTGGCTACAGGTATAGATTTTAGCATTTCATCTATCAAATATTTTGTCGTTATTCTAACTTACGTGGTGGATGTTGGTGCTGAAGCAGAATATGCTCACTCTTCCGGAACGTCGGGTCTTATTCTCCTTTGTCTTATTTTTCTTGTCACTTTCCAGGAGTCTCCTCCTGTTATCACTTCGCCCTGATTGAATATGAGTTAAGAATAGTATTCAGTCAATTACTTAGTATTTCCTTTGCTGCCCTTGCAACGAGGAAAAATGGAAGTGTGATAAGTGATGTAATTTGTATTTAATGATATTTTTAAAGCCTACGAACATTACATCCGTGAGATACACATGTATAGGCAATACTGCCTTATGTCTCTTAATTGGGTAGATATAAGGCTGTTTGGTGCATTTTGTCTCCCTTTAGAAATATGTTATTTATAAATGTTAGATTTTTAGTAAAAAATAAAAAATTAGAAACCAGGTCAGAATACAGTTTTTTGTGTTTTTTTACTTACAGAAAAAGAATACCTCATTCACTTTACTGGAACATCGCCCCAACATATTCGATATTTCCTGCTGAACTCCGACGATACAGAATCAATCAAGCTTGCAGTCTGGTATTCTCAGCCTAATAGGCGCGATCTCTATGTCGATGGAAATTTAGTTGCTCCGAAAAATGGTAGAACAGTGAACGGTGCTTACATACTAGACCCGCCCACGTATCCTGAAGAATTCATGCCAAATATCACAGACACGTCTGGTCAGAATTACTACGACCGTGACTCTGGACTTCTCCATTTCACTATCAGAGGGAAAAAAGCAGTTGAGGTCAGAACGGATCCTTCAGTTATCATTTCCTTCCAATTTCCGGCCACGACAATCGATGATTTCTTTGGTCCTCAATTGATACAGCACCTTGCAGCATTCTTCGACCTCCCTCCAAACAAGGTCAGACTCGTAAAGGTAGTAAGGGAGACAACTCCAACAGGAAGGCGCAAGAGGTCTGTGACGTATGATGAAGCTGTCGTGGAGATTTCCGATAACCCTCAGTCCAGTAAGTCTTCAAATCGATCAAAACATATGTGTTTATTTTTGTGTATTTATGTAAAAATAGATATGCATGTACATTAGTTAACAGTTAGATTTAACTTTGTCTTTATGTTTAAGCGTTTGGGTAGAAATATTGCACTTCATAAAATGATTAAGTAAAAGACATTCTCATCGAAAGATTTTATTTATCATTTTGTCAAGTATTTAACTTTCGTCTATCTTACCGTGAAATATATATATTGTATAACGAAATTACTGTTCCTTTCCATCAATCACGTGACCTAGAAATGGGGCAGCATTAAAGCTGGTCAGATATTTTCACCTGCGCAAACTTTTGTCTTACATGTAAAACAAACATCTCGATTCTCATTTGCCTTGGCAAAGTATTAAGAATAATGCCCGGCCAAATCAGCGAGTAGTTGTAACTTGCTATAAATGAATTAATATTCAAGTAAGTTATATCACGTTCTCAAATGAGCACACGCATAAATAACGGAACCAACAAGCAAAATAGCGGGCAACAAATACGTCCAGCTTCATATCGCGGAAAGAAATATAATATTTCTCAATGAGAGATCGCTAAGACGACTATCAAAGTTCCCAATATTTTTCATCAACCTCTTGTTTCTGAAATCCTTTGATACGAGTTTGTCGTGATCGAAAATCATGATACTGGGAACAGGTTAAGGAATATCGAATAAAAATTAAAAAAAAACACCATAATTATATTTTAGGCTGTGGATGCTGCAGTTCAAAAAATTGGTAGACTTGCAATTGGGAAATTTCATAAAATTCATAACGCATACAGCTTGATGGAGAGTTGTCCATTTTGGTTTCAACACGTTTACAAAATATGTCTATTTGCTACCGTGCTTAATCGAAAATTCATCCTATGATAAAAAACAAAATGAATTTGTTTTCATTTGATGTGATCTAAGAAACTCACCACAGAATTTTCATATCTACTTCAATTTTATGAAAAAGAGTATTTGTCTCGTTGCATATGTTCCCATTTCAAATGTGCACTCATGTAAGATATTTTATATATGGACTATAACATTACAATGATGGTTTGGTGCACTGGCGAAAATTTCATTTTTCTTTAGACATTAACGACACCAGTGAATTGTCCTCAGAACAGCTTCAGAATATTTCCAATACGTTGATTAACGAGATTCAACTTGGAAACATAAGTGACGTCCTCAACACGACAGTAACAAGAGTGGCTGTAGTAGAACCACTTCCGTCTCCGGGAACCCAAGAGTGGAACGATACCACAACCGACTCGCCATACGTTGTCATAGTCGAGGCAACAAGCATGCGCTTTAACCCAGCACCCGAACCACTACACGAAGGAGTTGTGTTCAGAACCCAGCCTAAGATACAAGTTCTTGATGCACAGGTTTGTTTGAAATTGACCACCCTTAAATGCGTTTTTGTTTGATTTCTGGAACAAGTTACATAGTTCACATTTTGTTTCTCAACATAGTACTCAAATTATTTTGACTACAGTCCAACTTCCAAACTATCGTCTTTCCTTGGGCAGTAGATGGGATCTTACGTTACTCACTGTTACTATTACACAGTTGAAAAGTTGAATCATTGAATTGATATACATTACTTGTTAAGAACTTTTAGTTACGATTTTCCATAATGTCATGATTTAATCTTAAATGATGGAATGATGTATTATAAAGTCCGTGATATCCCCTCTCTGTTGGCACTCAGACGATCGTGGAATCTGGCCCCACCCCCACCCCCTAGCTATGTCTAGCGAATATGCTATTCTATTCTTTCTTATTTCTATCCTTTTTATCAATTTTTTTTAAGGGGAAGCAGCAACCGGACACTGCTGTTTGTAGTTACATGAATGACCTTGCCCAAGTTGATTGGTGGTCTAGATTTAGAATAACTACAATTAATTGCTACTTTTTACTAGAATCATTTACAGTGTTGAATGTGGCTCTTATCATATATCAATATTTGCTCTCAATAACGATTTAAGTAATGCATTTCAAGACCAAATTAGACTGATTGTTTTCATAGTAGTTAGAGTGGTGGGAAAGGGATGAACAGAAGGACGTCTCTGTTCAAAACGACATTGAATCTAAATGCAGGTTATAATTGCAATACATTTTAACTTTTTTTAATATATAATAAGAATAATATATATAAGAAACGTTCAAAGTTCACCCCTGCAATATGTCTTAGTTGTAAGGAATTTATGGAATATTTTGCTAGGTATTACATCAAGAATGATCTCCCTTATCGAAAGTCTACCCTAAGATCAGTCAAGCGTGACAATGTCATTGTCTAACTTTGTGAGCTTCCTGAGTCCAAATCTCTTAGTTCAGCCACATTAATTTTTCACGTTGGCTTTTTGATTTCACCATTAATCGAAATGCCATGCTCAACGCAAATTTAGAGGAGTAGAGCAATTGCGATGTTGACGGATCGGTATAACCAAACTGCTGCCGAACGGCAGTTTAGCGTTGCCCCGTGTACAATTAACCGTCTCTATACACGTTTCAATGCTACTAGCTTAGTTTCCGATCTTCCCAGGAGCGGTCGTCTGTGTATAACGACAACGCGACAAGACAGGGCGATATGATTGTCGCACTTGCGCAACAGATTCCAGACTGGTGTAGAGACTGCGTCTCATACTTCAGGTACTCATGGCAGACCCGTAAGTACTCAAACTGCCAGGAACCGCTTGCGTGCCGAGAGAATCATCGCGCGCCAACCTTTTGTCAGGCCACCTGTGACAACATGTAGGCGGCAAGTGTGTCTTGACTGGATGCGTAAAAATGGCACGAATAGGTTTCAGATGCGTCGGTGCTGTTGTGTGATGATAACCGATGAGTCTAGATTCTGTCTGTATTGGTCAGACAGAAGAAAAAGGGTATATCGACGCATGCGTGGTTGAACTCGATAAATTCGGTGGGGCTTCTGTAATGGTTCGGAAAGGCATCTCCCATGAAGTAACACCCCCCCCCCCCCCCCCACCCCACCCCCCTCCCCCCCAATTAGTGGTCCTGGATCCAAGACGCAAGTCCGTTTGATACTGGGGTAGATCCTCCATACTCAAACCACATGTCCTTCCACTTCTCAGACATTACAACACACATTTCCAGCAAGGAAATGCTCGACCGCATGTTACCGGAGTCTGTCGTGATTTTCTCACGGCTAACAACGTTCAGCCTCTGGATTGGTCTCCATATAGCTCCGATATGTCTTTTATTGAGTATATGTGGAATGAGCTGGACAGGCGTATTAGGAACATACCACAACCCCAACTAACCGCGCCCAGTTGATCGCAACATTAACATAAGATTGGAACAACATTCCCTTAAGGCGCATTAATATTCTCATGAATTCAATGCATAGGATAATCAATGCAGAAACTCGTGCAAGAGGTGCCCACACTTGATACTGAAGTGTCATTTTCTTTTCGCAGGTATCACACTTTAAGTAACTACTGACGACTCGAGTGACGTCACACATGTTTTTCCTCTACAGTATCGTAAAGAGTACACTTGTCACTTCACATTCATATGAAATTTTGTAGAAATTCCCAAAAATACCACAAGCTTTTAATTGCATAATTTAATTGTGCGTTTCTTTTTCTTGTTGAGTATATAATCAAATACATGTGTTAAATACTGTTTATTTCTTTTCATAAATCTGTCCTACATACAATGTTAACAAAACGGAATATGTTTAGGGAGCACTGATTTGAATTGTAAAGCAGCATCTTATGTTAGTGCCAACACATACTAAAAGCATCTGCCACAAACTGTATATATAGTGATATAAATCATATATATTTTACTATGTATTGCTCTCTGTCTCAAACATAATATCATAACTGCAAAGTAAACATTCTTGCACCCTGAAAATTCAATGTAAAAGGAAATATCAAAATCTGGACTTGTGCATTAAAATACTCATAACACTTTCGTGCTCGTATAAATATCCATATTCATAAACATGAACGTAAACATTAGAATTTCTTCAAGTTTATCTGATTTTACTGCTGACTTGTATTAAGCAAACCTGGTTATCGGCATATTGGTTTGTTTATGGCCGGTACATCGGCAAATTGTATGGAACTGAACACACGCGTCATATGTACGTGCGTAAGTACCCCCTTTTCACTCCGAAACTAATGACTCGACATCATAGGAAAAAAATCCTTTAACAACCAGCGGTACAACCATATAATAAGTTATGTTGCCTGTTATATACATAGTTATTTCATAACAATAGCAACCCTTTTTTATCTCAATATTGTTTAATGATTTTATACAGGGCCAGCCGATAACAAATCTAGGGACAGACTCCCAGCCCTGGCAAATCACTGCGTCCTTGCGTCTCGGTGGATCCAACCCGTCCGCTAGCCTTACCGGTAATCTTACCGTCGAGTTTGTCAATGGCTGGGCCAACTTCACCGATCTGCTTATTACACAACTTGGCAGTGACTTTTATATTGACTTCAACCTGACCTCCCCATCTGATTCAAACTTTACCATCGCCTCTGATCCACTGACTGTTACTGGTCGACCAATCACAGCCTCTGTTGCATCAATGACCACTTCCCCAATTGAAAACGATAACTTTGCACTCCGTGTAGAGCTTCGTGATGGACTAACCTCAGAACTTATCCCGGATATTGCCTGGAGGGTAAGTCTTGTTAACAATTATTGAAATCTTTCATTATAGTTCTTCCGCTCCATGTTTAGAGTAATCTCACAGTGCCAGGAAAAGCTTATATATCGTAGTAAAATTCTCTTGATGAAAGTACATTAAAATAAATATGACATACATGTTGGTTAACTGTTAATACATGACGAATGGATATTTTGGCACTTTCCAGCGAGTAAACGATTGTTGTTGCGACGTTGTGATATTGGCTTGTGTTCTATGCCGGATACGCGAAATTGAAATTCGTGCCAATTTCGTTTGTGCAAAATTATGCCTATGTAAAGTAAAATCTGGAATAATTAAAACAAATTCATGAAAACCCTAAGGCTCCATATCTTTCAAAATCAGAAAGAGTCCTCTCTTGCGTCAATGTCTGATGTTTAGACAAAAGTTCTCGCTCATGTTCACTAGGTCTAGAGCTTCAATCGGCGCTCGATGAACTTCCATTTCTATATAAGATTTTATTCTACACGATATTAATGTATGCATTTTCCCCGGTATGGATGATTGCTAATGCGGCTAAATGATCTTTTCATCACAAAACAGAATTAACATCTGATAATTATTGCCGCTAAATTATTTTACACAAAAAACAAATTTAATATATGAAAATTACTGCATATAATCGATTTTCCTCACAAAACGAAAGTAACATATAATAGTTATTGCAGCTAAATGATTTTACACACAAAACAAAGTTCACTTGATAATGATTGCAGCTAAATTATCTATTTCACAAAACATTAATGTACGATAATTATTACAGCTGAATTATTTAACTCACAATACAAAATTAGTATATGAAAATTATTGCAGATAAACGATTTTCCTTACAAAACTAAATTAACATATGATAATTATTGCATCTGAATGAGTTTCCTCAGAAATTGAATCAACATGTGGTGATTATTGCAGGTAAATGACTTTTCTCACTAACAGTAAGGACACATATGAACACTCCATATAACATATTTTCATTATTATGCTAATATTGCAGATTTCAGAATAATCTGCAGAATCTGCGTTCAAATTTGTCATCAACATATTCAACGAATTATGTAAAATTTCGGTATTTTTAATCCCTTGATGAATTCTTATTAAGTATGTATTGTTATAATGTCGCTGTTTATAAAACATAATGATGAGAGATATATTCTAATTTATTGTGCGATATGAAGTTACATGTGTTTGGTTCATACTTTTTAGTAGGTCCGTTGGTTTCGTTGCTGTCAACTTTTTATCATTTATTTCCTTGGCTGGTACCATCGATGTATTAAAATGCGCATGACCTTTCGGAAAATGTAGCTTTGTTCTCATTGAGTTGTTATTTATTTTGTTATTTTTGTTCTTGCCTTTCTTCAGCTTGAATCAAGATAATGCTGACATGTGATTTTTACCCTTTTTTGTTTTGTAAATGACTGCTACAGTAATAAACCTACGCTAAATTACTGTTTCCATCAGAACAGCGAATATAAGATAGGGTCACAATTTCAGAAATTGATTCATACTATCGGACATTTATTTTCTTCTTATTTGTTGTATTTCAGATAATGAATAAATTGACTCTCCCTGATGTATTATTGTATTTGAATGAAATGATTGACTTTACAGCCTAACATTATACTAGCAATCTTACTACTTCTTCATAAAATTTCAGAATATTCGATGTAATTAGACAACGATTTTCCTGCCCACATCCCATCTTTAAACTACTCGTTACAAACCGTTATACATAACGTTTACGACTTAAATGATATATGTTTTGTCCCTATGAATTAATTCCTGAAATAACCTATAACTTACACTGTAAAAACAGGGCCATACCTGGACATTGACAGTGGAACTGAACAAACCAGAAGTTCACACCGGCGAGATGATTGGATCAAATCTAACGTTATTTTCCACTTCCTCAAGTTCTGCTAACTTCTACTCACTGAACTTTACCTCCCTTGGTATCTACACGTTGAGATTGCATATCTACACGACACCCGCTGGCTATGACTTTTACGAAGAGCTGCAGATAGTTGTGAGAACACAGGTGCAGACGACCATTGCTGTTGAACAGACGACTGTGATTGTGATGAAATTTGAATCAGCTGATTACAACGCTGTAGTTGGTACTGATGATAAGGCGTTCGGTACCATGGTGACATCTCAGTTTATTTTGATATTCCAAGAGATCCTGTTTAACTCCGTGTCCGTGACCCCAGGTAAGATGAATATTTAACATGCGACTGATAGAGTATATATACAAATATTATATGTTACCTTGCCAAACGTTTTGATATTACAAATAAAAATCACGAATTTTAAATCTGATAATCATTCTATAGTTATCTAACAACATCAGTATTTTAAAAATTACAATAAATCGATACGAATTGATTCGGAAACAAAACTAGTTAAAACGGATCATTAATTAGTGCACAGTGTACTACTGAGAAGTATATATAAATTTGACATCAGAACCATTGTATATTTGATTCAATATCAAATAATGAATTAAAGTTATCTATATCGATGCTTGTTTTTCCTGTTACAGGGAGCATTGTTGTGTCATTTTCCGTCAGTGGGGGAATATCCAATATCAACGCGACAGTGTATGGCATGTGTGAGTCGATACAGAACGGATCGACCTTCACTTTCAACTCGCAATCGCTGACACTGTCTGGGTACCTGACGGTGGGAGGAATATCCTACTATGGTTCCCTCTGTGGACCAATAGTAAGTATTATTATACATTATATAAACAGTGATGTATAATGCTCGCTCTATATGCTTTCCACATGGTTGTTATTTTACTTCTCATACAAGATACCAGGAGTGTTGTTCTTCTTGAATATTGTTGGTATTTTTGCAAAGCTATTTAGAATGCAAAATTGAAATTTAAATTGACACAGAATTGCAATTGCAACATTTTGTGTAGACAAAAATGTCCAGGCATGACTGTGTAGTACTTATGATTCACAATAGAAATCAATATGGAAAGAATATCACCCAACACTTATCAGTGATGACACAGATGCAAAATAGTGCACTTATGTTTATCTCCTGCAGGCCACCTCCACTACACCTGAATCGGGTCTTGGCAATACTGAACTGGCTCTGATTATCTCCCTTGTTATTGTATCCGTTCTTCTAACTGTACTCATCATAGCTATTGTTTACTGGAAGTGCAAAGTCCATCCAAAGACCAAGACAAGAGGTGAGAATCGAAACGGTTATATTTCATAAAGCAATGTAAGACTTTCTAACACAATGATTTATATTGAAATGAATTCTACATTAATAATTAACGTTTATTTTCTATAATCTAATGTACCAGATCGTCTTTGTTGTAGATGGGTGATGTCCGACATGTTCTGTATCATATTTTTTGGTCGTTCCCTTTTGTCACATTGTACTTCCACAATAATGTACAGTGATGCTTAAACTAGACAATTCATACTCATTCAACACCTCTTATAATTTGACGTAATTATATGTTTCCAACTAAATCAGGGATTTCCGTTATAGCTATAGACAACCCACAAGGTAACAATAAATTTTGCTGAAATACGACTTCGTCCGTTATCAGATAATCGGGATGTGTTTTGTTACTAACGAAAGAATGACATATCTAAGCATACTAACGAGCGATGGCAAAAACAACACGGTAACATTTAAAGAAAAAAAAAACAAAAATCACTTTTCTTTAAGCATCAGTTCTCTTGACAGATCAGTTCAGTGACGAAGTTTATAAATCCGTAACTTCCGATGTTATTAATCGGAACATTACCCGGTCCTGTATAACGGAAAATTCGACCAGAACATTACACTTTTCGACTTCAGTTCTAAACATTTTAATGTCACCCAGAAGAATTTATTTGATAGTCTGCACACCAAGTTGATTACATATTAAAGAAAGATATCTTTGAAAATATTAAACCTGTTCAGAACGACCAGTCGATTGGCTGTAATGGACGATTTGAAAAGATAATAATTAGTCGATACTTAATAAAACAAACCATTATTCTGTAGTTATAAAATAAAGGAAACTATTATTCTGTAGTTATAAAATTAAACAAAGTATTTCAGTATTTTTGGCCATGTTTGGTTTTCCAATTAATGGTAATGAATTCAGATTTTTCCAAAATATTTTAGTATATGAAATTTCACTGTGTCTATTATTTCAGATTTGAGCAAATACCATAATTACATGGACCAACCGCAGACAATTGAGGATATCCTGTTCCGAGAGAAATCCTTTATGAGCATCCGTGAAAAGACCTCGGTGATACCGCAAGCTCCTGCAGCTACCAACATCAACAGTCTGGGTTACAACTCGCAGAAAAGAAGCCCCCTACCCTACTAGGCTTTCGTGATACCGGAAACTAAATTCCCCCATAAGTAGTTTCTACTACCTTTTTATAGCAAATCTGTGATATCGTGTTTCGTTATTGTTCGTGTGCTATCATACTTATTGATATTACCTTCTGTACATCATGTTCTTTGTTTGACATGAAGTACCTATAATATGAAATGTTTATGTTCAGTTGAGGAAAATGATTATAATGAAAATGTCTATATAATAAGGATTGTACTGTTTGTTACCACTAATGGATTTTTTGTTTTCAAAAATGTTTATTTTTTTTCATATTTGCAGGAGGTAATAATTTGTAGAAAAATAATCACCATCGTTAAAGTGGCCTTTGGTATGCACACACAAAATAAATACATAAATATATATATATATATGTACTTAAACAAAATACGTTGATGAAATAAGGAATAATTCTGGACATATTTCTAATGAGTTTTTTTCTTACGTGTTCTTTTACGTGCACTCTCTTCAAATACATTATCTATTTATCTTTTCGATATCTTAATTGTAAAGTCCGTCCATCTTTTCTTTATTTTATTTACAATATAAAGTACACATTCCGTCCATCTTTTCTTTATTGTATTCACAATATACAGTTCACATTCCGTCCATCTTTTCTTTTTTCAAGGTACAATACCCATCTATGTTTTCTATATTGTGGTTAGCTACGTTTTTATATGACTTTTATTGCATTTGATATTCTCTAACATATTACGTAATTGGGTTATTAGATGTCCTAATGAAAGACAAACACCATGGAATTTTATGTAAACTCTTACGCATTATACAATTAGATGATGTGGCTAAATCTTGTTATATTACAATAGTCCATTATAAAAACATTATTGAGAGTGGAAGCAAAATAATCCTAGATTAGTATGGAATCGTAATTTCCCAGACATTATCTAATAGTAGGAACCAGTAGACCAATGTAATACAAAGGTAGGATATTGGTTAGATGATGGACTATTTCGGAAATTGAAAGTATTGTATAACCTTTTTACCAAGATATTCCTTAATATGTACACTAAAGCGATATTGTTGACTTGTGTTTTTTATGATATATAAAGACATAGTTTTTCTTATTCCTAACGTACTATTAATCAGATAAATGTATCATTTCAAATATACAGCACTTCCATTGAAAATGAAAGAAATATTCAGCAATATCTCACATTAACAGCATGGATTTTTTTATCACATATACCTTCTATTCTGAAATGCATTTTCCCCATAAATAATGTGCTACTTATCTTTCTGTAAATATGTTGTATGCTAAAAGCTTGTAGTATATTCGGGATCTAACTATATAAAGTTAAATATCAACATTTGACGGCTTATGAAAAGTGATAATAAGCGCATACTATGAATAGTGTTATCTTTGTTTAAATGTTTGTCTCTCGTGTACGATGAACAATTGTCCATATTCATCCGTTTCTATATAATTTTTGCTACCGCCTTTTTTTAGAAGTACTGAATTTTTTTTCAGATATAAGTTCATAAGTACCTCTGGATCCCTTGTTGTTCCCGTTTTATTTTTGGACTGACCAAAAAAGTAAACCTCCCGTCAGTCGACCATTTTGGAAGATTTCCCCAGTGAGCTAGCCTCGTCCATATTTTATATATGTATTTTGTGACTGATCAGAAGAACAAAATAGCTGACTGATGTCCTTCTTGTATTTGGCAATTAAAGTTAATTATCACATTTTCTTGCTATGAGCTGAATAGTTTTTTTTTCTCAAATTTTATGTTTATGTTCTTCTTGATCTCTCATTGTTTCCTTTCAATTTCGGATTATTTAGGAAAGCAAAATGGTTTACAGGCAGTCATCGTGGATTTTGAAATGAAACTTTGTTATTTTATTTCTTGAGAAGTAATTGATGAATGTTAATTCCTCTTGATGCGTAGTTTTCCATTCTACGTTGAGCAAGATAGAGGATATGCTTCTTTTGAAGAACAAATAAAGGTCAGAAGGTGGTGGGCATCAAGATCTCTCTCTAATATCTTGTTTTATAGTTCTTAATAAACCTCGAGTTGCCATGAACAGGCTGGTGTTTGTTGACGTAATGATTTGGTGAGATCGTGATACCCGTAATATGAACTCTCCTGCTTTGGTATAAAGTTTTGCCAATCATTTGGGGACTGTAAAAAAGTCTAGTTTTTTTTTTCTTTTAACTTTGGTTTTCATTTTTTACTATGATCTGGCTCAAAGATTTGGAGATTATCGAGTACTATAAAGGTTTAAAGATATTTTTACTTAATGCTTTGTTTTCATTTAATATATTTTATTTTCCATTAGCATTTTTGTTTTGTTTTCTGATAAAAAGGTACCTTATTGACAGAGCCTAACATATACATTATCAGCAGCTAGTACTCATTTGTTATATTCATTTGTGAAACTTGCAACTTGTATGATATACGCTTAAGTCAAACAGATTCGAAGATGAAACATATATTAAAACATACAAATATATTATTATTTTAGGCATCACTGATGTTATCAATAATTCCCGCAAAAATATCTGATGTTTCCGTCCCTGATCACTTCCGGTTAATGTTACTACGTGGAGTTGTCGTCTAGTATCATAGAGCATGACAGACATACTAATGTATGGTTGTTTTGCCTCGAACACTGCCACTATGCATTCTAGAGAGAAATTTTAGAATGGGAAAAACAAACAAAAACAGAAAAAAAAGTGCAATAGGCCCCGATGATCATGGTTAATAAATGAGAAGACATAGATGTGCGCTTAAAGAAATATGTGTTGATGGCAGCTTCCCAGACTAAAACAATAGTAAAGTCTTACCCTGCACAAGAAGTTGTTACTGATGAATAGAGACAGGGATAACGGTAGTAAAATTTTATTTCGTCAAAACTTGTCACTTAATGTTGTTGTTTTTTTTTTTTTATATAAAATTACAGTTTTTCATTCTTTCATATATTTTGTAAACTTCATACTGATTATTTCTGACTTTTCCCCTTAGACATAAATATCTACATCCGCACTGTGTATCTTTTTTGTAAACATCAAATAAAACTTATTTTTTCTAGCAATCGCGTGTGTGTGTTACTCTTTATTATTGTTGCGCCACTTACCGATTCTCGTGAAAGACGTCATCAACTGACGGACAAAACATGCAGGTTGATGAAAATTATGGGACAGTGTTACGTTCGTCATAGTGATCTCAATGAGAAATATTTTCTTCCCTTCTGTGCTTTCGATGATCGTTAGTTTGCCTGTTGATTCCCTTTATTATTTATGTATACCGACTTGAAAACCATCTTTGAGTAAATAAAAAATCCGAAAACCTACCGACACCACAAAATAATCTCTACTCAATCTCAAGATGTTGAAAAAGTGCAAAGTATAAACAAAAATAAGGATTTCCTCACGAATACCACTAGAAATTTCAAGCATAAAATAAGGCGTTATGAAATCGTCTCCTGCTTAATCGAGATAACCATCGTTTTAATCATAAGGGATCCAAGCTAGTATTTTTTATAAACTGCAAACAAAATCAAGGAAACTAGCGATCATTCTAACCACCATTAAGGAACTATAACATCTATCCTTTTAAAAAGGTTAGATGAAAAACAACATTCATTATTGATATGAATCCAACGATTACCTAAAAGTTGATAAACGTTTATGCAACGTTGACAAGAGTGCATTTCATTCTATAGAATCATGAATTGAATCCAACAAGAGATTTATTTTCTTTAAGAATCTGGATCGCCCAGATGAAAGGTTGACAAGTTGTTAAGATTTAACGTTAAAATAACGTTTTTTTACCATTATTTAACGTTAAAATGATGTTATGTTACAATTACTTAACATTAAAATAACGTTAGAATACGGCGCGTAATTAAATTTGCCTTTGTCTAGTTGGCATTCATCTAGAAGACAACAATATAACTTAGTATAGATTTGTGTAATTGTCGTGCACAGTTTCCGAGTACTGGTACTGCGATTCACCCTATCTGTTTCCATGATAAGAGAAGAAGTATTTAACCCTTTAATCCCTGATGGTGCATCAATGTATCACCGGGCATGGATCGAATAATGCATCAATGTATCACGGAATCGGAAATATTTCGAGTTTTTTTTTAAACTCATCAAGAACGCAGACAAACCATGATGTTTATAAAACAATACTTTTATAACTGTTCCCCTTATACTGAATTTGATTGGCTGTGATTAAGAATCATTACAGCTATTTTTTCTCGGTGCTGAGGTGAGAAATTCCACAAATATGAACATCAGCTGTTGTGAAATACAGTATCTTAGCTGTTTTCTAGAGTCAGTAAAAGTAAGTAAAATCCCGAATAGGCATGTATACCATTTGTATAAAATATGGCTGACATAACAACAGGCTCATTTTACTGGGTGAAATTCAGTTATAGATCGGAATAAAGTAGTCAAACCTTAAAAAGAAGAAAAAATACCTGCTTATTGCTTATTTCATTGCAGTTTCCTCCACATTAAAGTTTGGCATTTCCCAACTTTGTCAAATGTAATCACTTCTCCCACTCGACTTAATAGTTCTAAATATAGTAACATATATCCATGCTGCTTAATGCCTATTGAAAGTGCAGAATTATTGATATATCTGTCAAGTGAAGTATTCTCCATAGCACAAAGTATTACATTACTGGCTTGATAACTGTACAAAGTTTAAATCTATAATTATCTGTAACAGTGTCAGCCCACTGCACCAGAACATTACCTTGCACAGACATACGGACGTACCGACGGACGCCTAGTTTATAACCTTCATTGAAACGTGTTTCTTGGGAGACAGTGGAAACAATTTGAACCATCAACCTGTTTGAAACAGCCTTCTCCAAGATTCCCATCTCTGCTACAGGGAATAGAATATGCATTGTGTTTATGATTAACATTCTTCATCATATATGAACATTACTTTCAGTATAGCAATTAGAACGTATTGCATTCTTTAAAAAATGGGACGAGTTCCATAGGAAACTT